TTCATAGTCCATAAATCTAATAAATTTAATAAATTTAATCGCTTTTAATATATGAAATTTATATTATCATATAAATATATTATATAAATATATAATTATTACATATTTTAATATAACTATTTTATATTTATTTATTTTATATATTTATATATAATTAAATATATATAATAATATATAATTAATAATTATTTTATATATTTTATATATTTATTTTATAACTATTTATAACAATTATATAACTATCTTTAACAATTTAGGAATGAATTATAAAATATTTCCAGATTTTTTTCCAGATTTCTTTATAATGCATCATAAATGAATTAAAAATTAAGATTAAAAAAACTGAAGTTAAATACAAAAAAAATTACTTGTTCACTAGAGATTTACCATATTATTAAATCATATATTATTGCAATTTTCTTATAGCAGCTCGTCAGCCTCAGTTTCTCGTGACTCATACACGTATATCGTCAATTTTTGTAATTTTAGGATCCATCTACAATCTTACACACGCATAATTATCTACAGATATAATCGCGAATTACTTGCTGATATAAATACAGATTGTATCATTGAGTGGTGTGAACTATGATCTCATAGTAGTACTTAAGTGCTTCTGAGAAACGCGAATCAGGTGATTATTGTCGTAAACTAGATTCAATTATGAAACTGAATTTTTTACAAAATCGTAAATTTTTTTCATAACAAAAAAAAATGGAACATATATTTTCAGTTATGTGAAATATGATTTTCTAAAACAATAATTCTTAATTCGTATCACAAGAGAAGGATAATACAAAATAATATTTTAAGTACGAGAAGTGGAACTAGAAAATAAAAAATGTGATATAGTAATTTTTGAAAAATCAAATTGATAATACACTCTACAAGTAAGTTTATCACTATTTGTCATTATTTTATATATCAGTAATTAAAATCAAATTTTTTTTTTATTTTTTATTTTTAATTTTTCATTAGAAGAAGCAGAATTAAACATATCATCTTTTAAATTCAAAATGACAAAAGAATTATGAACTTTTAAAATAATAAAATCATTAATTTTTTAAAATTTTTCTCTTTTATGAAAAGTGCAAATTATAAAATATAATATAATAATTATATTATAATACAATAATAATTTAATTAAAAGTGAAATTGTATATCACATTTTGAAAATTAGACTTATTTTAACATATTTTTTTTTTAATTGAGTATAGTGAATTATAATTGAGTATAGGTTATTTTGCAATCTTTTATTAATGATATAGAATTGTTAATGATTGGTATTGTTAAGATTAATAAAAGCATAAATGATATATAATGTAAATTAATGAATTAATGAGTGCTGTATACATTTATTTTTTATGTTATGAAGCATGTGTCAATGTATGTATTATAGAATGACCTGCAAAATTAAAAATAAAAAATCTATATCTTTGTTTCTCAAAGAATATTGTAAGAAAAGTTGTATACATATGTTATTATGTTAATCATAATCATAATCAGGAAATTAAAATATATTTTTTTTAATCTGTTTGTTTCCAAAAATACTAATTAGCAATAATATATATATA